TAGATATATATAGATATATATAGAGCGAAAAATATTAAATTTCGAATTATACTAGAACTAAACTTTAAAAGAAAAGTTTCCTAATATTTCTTTTTTCAAATTTCAAATTTACTCAAGTATAAAACTTTTCAATAAACTTTTACAAAAGTTATATAACCTTTAAGATTCAAAACATTAAACAAGTTCCACGTACAGCAAATATTTTTCTAAATTGCAAACTTAAACATTTAAATTTATATGCTATGTATAATATTAAAATTGATATAATATATCTAAATATGAAGATTCGAACGCGTCCAATTTTAATGTCCAACAAAAGTTTTCCATTTGCTTACTGAGCATTACAATCTGAATAATCTGTCTGTGTTAGCCTTCATTGAAATTAGAATTTCAAATGTTCCATAGGCTTGAAACAAACAGAAAGCTCCAGATTTCTGTAACGAAACGTTCAAAGGGGACAGGGATGTCCAGATGTTCAAGGAGAGCGCACACTCCGACGAAATATTGGCAGGTGCAAATTTTCGTCGAACGAGATCGTTTGTTTTTCCTTTTATCCGCAGCAAGAAAGGTACGTCGAGGGGGTTCTCCTCACGCGTTGTTCGTACTGAATGCACTGACGAAGCCTCTATAAATAGCGGGTACGTTACTGAAATACGTGAAACGGATATACGTACGTGTACACTCTTTAAAAAAAAGTGGCTAAGATGCGACCTTAATTTACATCTGCCATGATGAACGTTTCGTTATTCTATAGTAACGAATATATCTAGATGAATGCTCTCTCAAAGAATTGTCAACACCCTCGTGAACTTTGTCACGAGATAGTAAGAAATTCGTAAAAAATTCAGAGTACGGAAGCTTTTTTGAATATTTACTCAAAAGAAAGGCCAAGAAAGTAAATTTTAAAAGTTTGAAACTCGTTTGAAAGAGTACATTGCAAATCACACATAGAATTCTGTCGTTTCTAGAAATCTTTTTTACGAATATTATAACTTGGAATTATCTTACCTTTGTACCATTCTGTAGAAAGCGTGTTTATGTGTAAGTGACTGAGGTAATACAAATACAGTGCGTTATGCTAATTTGCATTAAAAAAATCAACACTCGTTGTGCAACTGGGCAAACATCGATCCGTAGAAAAAAATTAAATGGCGGCTCTTGGGACATTGTTGCACCTCCTACAACGTGAGTCAAGTTTGCGGTTTGCTTATTAATTTGAAATAATTGACCAATCAACTTCCGCGTACATTTGATCTTTGTAAGCAACTTCAAAGAGGTAACGGCTCGCAATATATTCGTTCGCGATTTATACGTCACATAAGTTTTTATATTAGTCTAAATTCGAAATTTGGTGTGTTTTATTTTATTTAGTCGCAATGATTAAGTTACATGGTTTCCGGATCGGTGATATAATTAATTGATTTTATCGGCCAACCTGGAACGTAACTTCGCGCCATAATCGATCATGCAACTCGAATCAAATGTATTTAGAACGGTAATTATTCTCTAATAATTTTTTAGTACGAATAACATTTTATAACGAAATGCAGCATCGATCGGCTTAATCCATTGATTCGACGAATAAATATCAATGAATAAATATTGCGAATACAGAAGAAATGAGTATAAAAATTATTGCTAGGTAAAATCAATGCTTCTTATTTTCGCAGCGTTGAGAAATTTAACTTAATTTTAATAATACCACGTATTGATTCTCTTTTATTTTATCCATGATGAATTTCATAAGTAATAAGATATCATAATGTTCAATGTTCTTGTAGAAAGGACGACACACTTGTATTTGAAACGTTGGTATATAAACATAGGACACCAGAAAAAACAAAAACTAGTGATCGAATCAAATCAAACATAAGTGAAAATGTAAATAAATTAATAAATTTTGAATATATTACTTCTTAAATCTAATTTAACAGCTTTCGATGCTCATATCATTCAATCTATTTAACCCTCAAAAATTATAATGGATAAAATCTTCTTTCGTGATAATTTTCGAGGGTTAATTTTCAATCTCATAATCGCTTTATCTTTTATCGCCTATCTCTCCAAGTATTTTTGCACTTGTATTAAAAGTCAGGTTATACAAAAGTTTTTGTATTTCGTGCTTCAAATAACATTCATTATCGTAAAAGAACCGAGGAGAACCTTAGTTTGGAAATTCATCAGAATAAATGAGTAAAAGAGGAATCCTACCGGTTGAGCGCGCGTTAAAAGGTTAGGTGCGTCTCGACAACAACGCCGGCAGCAACATACCTAGTGGTGCTCTTAAAGAAGTTGTTGCTTTCGCGGTTCATCAACTCGCTACGGAACCGTGACATCTCATCCTCCATCTTTCTCATCTCAGCGTCGAAACGTTCCCGTATGTTGGAAAATTCGGTGTCTATCACGCTGAAGTCACCGAGCTTGATGGGAATATTGCGCTTGATACCACTGTCAGCCATGACTTTTGTCTCAGTCACACTTGTATCTCGTTACACCAAAATGCCACCAAATGAGATACTCGCTCGTATACCAATAAGAAGCACTGCTCTCACGAACGCTTTTAATTATTGCGAATACTATTTTCGATCACGTACAACCGTACGGCACGCTATCTCGCCTAAGAATGAGCGCGGCTCACCAAATGCTCCTTAAATAGTCGCGACAGAATTGCTCGGCTGTTCGTGGGAGTTCGTCACCACTCGGTAATTTCCGTAGAGATTCGGCTTCGTGCTTCGTCCAAACCGGGAACGAAATTTCACGAAATTTGACCAGATCTGGACATTTGTTTGATATAATTTTTACTAAATAGATAACGATACAAATCAAGTATCTTAAATTTACTTTTATGTAAGTATTTTAATTATTTTTTTTTATTTTTGAGTGTTCAAATTGAATTCGTGTTAGTCTTTACTTATGAAAAGTAAAAAGTCATAGAAAGATATTTCATTGTTTCTAAAAAAAATGTTTGAAAAGTAAAAATGAGAAAAAGAGATAAATGAAATATCCATATTGTTAAATTGATTGAAAAACATTGAGATACTTATTAATATAACAGAAAATTATATAAAATTCTTGTTTAACATAAATGTCATAAATTGAGCGTTTCTTGCCCTATTTCACATTTCAAGTTTTGTATTTTCGAATTAAAACAGGATTTCCTACGTGAATCAAGAACCAAATAAGGACCAAGTAAGTTATTCATATGTGCATACAACGTACAAAGTTTCTGAATAGACTTGTGATCTATGAAGAATCGATGGGCATCTATAGGTTAGGATTTTGCACATAACTCGAATGATTGTGTTACAAGAGGTGATGACTAATATGTGACCATACGATCATTTCCTTATTGATTGTCTTTAGAGCGAAGATATACATATGTATGTATACAAAAGATTTTATTTCTATTAGTATCAGATTTCTAAAAAATTTCATTTCGTCATCGTTATATAAAAGCAGCTTTTGTAATGTCACTTATTATGTTTGCAGTTTTATAGAACTGATATTTTAACGATTTATGTCATGGTCATAAACGCGTTAACAATGGATATTCATGGATGATCCGATTTTCACGATATTAATTGGCTAATTAGATTATATGGCACATCAACGGTTTTCTAAAGTCAACAACGCTTATAAAAGCGTCAATTACCATGTCGACCCAGTTACGGAGTCTTCCCTTCTGGTAAATTTACTCGATTCTCACAATTGCTGTACTTAACGACATTCTACCAATGAACACATTTTACACGCTTGTCATCAAACATCTATGTTAATTTAAAGAAAATTCCAGGCAATCAAATTAATTTCTATAACAAAGTCACGCAACTTCCACAAAGAAGGCTAAACTAATGTATGTTTCATATTTGAAATAAAACTGTATGTTTCATATTTGAAATAATCGAAAGAATGTTGTTGCATATATTAACGATTAATATTTTTACTACGGAACGATCAATATAAAGTATTGCCAACTATATTCTTATGTATCATTAAAACTAAAATGAAATTCTCTTGACATGAAATTCTGCCGCAAATAAAAAGTTATAGCAATTATTCAAGTACCAAAAAAAGAAACTCGTCACTGTTCTCGACAATTCCCAAAGCAAGTAGCACTATTTTATAAGTACGTGTGACTCATTTCGTAAATAACATAAATTCAAAATCATCTGTACAAATTCCCTTTAATAAATATCTCGAGGAACGTTTTTTCACGTCCGCGCTGTTGTAATCGTATCACGCGTGACGATCATTTGCATTCCATTTCACGTCGTCCGCGTTGTTCTACATTCTTGTTACACGTTAATCACGCGTGAACATTCAAGCGTTCCAATTTGGACAGACGTATATCAGGCAGACACGAAGGCCGTGATTACTACATAACTTTCTGTTTATGTCTGGTGGAACTGCGTGAGATGTTCTTTTTTTTCTTTTTTTTTTTTTTTCGTGGCATTAAATCCTACAGGCGAATGATGCCGGCCGCTATTTTCGCGCGTTACACCGGCATTATACACGCGCCGAACTGAATGGACCGACGTGACGTGTCACGACGCCTCCTTATTGTTCATAAATAGTCCTGGTTGCAGTTTCACGCTTATCCACGATGAATCAAACTATGTGGAATGTTTTCTCGAGATCCGTCGTTGTGATAGTGATGTTGATTTCTTATAGCTAAGCGTACGAGCGGGGGAGGGCTGAATCACACCCTATTTGGTCAAACTGGATGAATAACAACCCTCATCAATATTAAAATGATGACTCTTTGACTCAAGTTCGTGGAAAATACAAATTGAAGTATTAAAAATTTTTTAAAATATATTCTAACATTTTTCTTCAGTTTCTACTCGATATTCATTCTAATTCATTTCTGCTGATAGTCGCCTTCATGAAATACATCGTTCACCTTCCAATCGTGAAAACAAGGATCTCCGCGAGAGGCAGCCTTAAAATTTATGACGACAAAACGTAAAATCACATAGAAGAGAGCGGAGACGTGATGACGAAGTGTGTCAATGTCAAACTTCAGACGATATTTCGAACTTCTCTTCCAGAGAACGACTCGTTCTTTCTCGGTGCGTTTTTCTTAAACGTTCACGGCATTCTTAAGTTTCTCGTTAAGACTTTGCGTGGGAGAACATGATTATCATGACGTCATCTTTCTGGAGGTTTTACTGATCGATAAAACACGTCACAATGGTCGCTAACATGGATTGGTCTTACGTCCATTTGTTACGTAGCGAGTTACCACTATACGCGTTGCTCCACCTCGAAAGACAGCAAAGAACAACAAGGTGAAATCTTATTTTTAACTTTTTACACCGAATTTAAATTCATCCTTTGTGTAATTTTGCATAAAAATTCTAATAGTAATCTAATCGTAATAGATATATTAATAAATAAAAAAACTTGTACGCAGATCTTTCGAAAAAAAGAGTTATAAAGTTTTAATAGTCTCAACTTAAGAATATATCAAACCAGAAAATATGTAAACGTATCTCATAATTCTCTTTCAAGAAACTATTTTCAAAAGAACCAATTTGTTAAATTTCTAGCTTACAAAGTACTCGAAATTGAGTATTAGTAGAACGTGAACAACATAATTTGTTAATGAATTACATTGTTATGCCAGACGAAAAGACAAGCGAAATTGCCTGCCAGATAATTATATGTAGCACGATATGCAGAAGAAAACAACTAAACAGAGGTTGTAGAAAAGATAGTACACTTCTTCGTTATACGCCACCGACTATTAATAGCTAAAAGTTCGAAAGAGAGCCATAGTGTCCGAGGCCAGATTCGACCAAAGGAATTCTTAGC